GAATTAGATCTTTCTTTAATAAGTAGTTAGAAGTGAAGAGAGTCGTGGAACGTTCTCAAATTATGTAGTCATTCATAAAATAAATAGAAATATGATAATTTAAGTAAGCTGTGCGTAAAGTGCATCTATTTATTTTGCTTTCTTTCTTTTTCTATTTTTAAATAACCAGAATGTTGCTTGATATGTTCAAAATGTACATTTTTAGTGTTCGTATTGTTAAAATTCTCATTTATGAAAATTAGCAAAATTAAAAGTTATAATTTTCAAATTCGCTGTCGAATTTCAGCTTCTGTTCTGTCTTCTTTCTTTTAATATTTTATTCTTAGGCTAATGTTTCTATACAAATTATTTTTACAAGTTTAAGCATTTCTTTTCTATTAGTCTTCATGCGTTTAGCGAACTGGCATCTGAGTATATCGGAACAGTTTTGCATCAACAATAAAGTTTGACTAAAAACTAGCACTTTAAGCGTTTACTTAATATATTTTGTAAAGACTATGTAGCCTTTTACTTTTCAACAGGAGACGTAAAAAATGCGCAATACCCTCTCGGGGATACATATTTCACAAGTGCACATCTGTGTAGAGAGGGGCTTTAGGTTGGACCAATGAGCATCCAGTAATATTTCTGTCATGTCAACATGACCTTTCGCGTGCTTAAAGATTTAGGCAAGATGGTTGAAAATATTTTGCCTTAGAATTTTCTGTACAAAATAATTAAAGCATTGCCGATTTCTTCTGAAAATTTTCATTGCGAAGTTAGATCAAATATAAGCAATTGTGAAGCACTCCCTGTTTGAAAGAATTTGAAATCAACACAAACACATGTTGGATACTCCTAAAAATATCTATGTGAAATATTACTTAATACGTGGTAAATAAGATGAAATATGTGATAAATATCTGAGCCCAAATGCTTATCTTTAGAATAAAATGATGCATATGAGAAAAATACTTTACACCAATTTATATATGTAAACTAGAAGTCAACACATTTTTATTTTAGTCTGTACATGAAAAAGATGTTCTATAATAATAGCCAATGCAGAATTTTATTCAAAGTAACGATTACTAATTTGCACTCGTATACATTTATTGTATTAAATTTCACAGTTAATAATTGTTATTCTTAAATGCACGATCTAAACAAGAAATACTCATGAAACAGAATGAATTTATCTTATTCACAACGAATATATTCAGTTTATTCACATATAACTTTAATGTGTTAATAATGGATATAATCAGATCATACCCAATATGTATTCTGAATCTTATACTTTAAAAGTCGAAAGAATGCAAACGCTGAAAGAAGAAAACACTATATTCATTGTAACACTTTTAGTCCTTCTCAGCTCAATAATAAATATGTACACCTGAATTCTCTTAATCCACAGGTGTTAGTAAGTGTATAATACTCGAGACTAATCATAGCTTGAGTCATTTTCTTGATGTAAAGAATATATCTTCTTGATGTAAAGATAATATGCCGGGAAATTCAATCCAAATATTAATGCATGATAAAAATCGCAAAAGTGAAATGTCAGCGATTAATTAAACTCAGAAAACGAAAGTACTTCGACATTTTCTACTATTATGCCATATATTTATAACTGCGAAACAAATGCAAATTAAAACATAAGCAACATACGCTCACATGCACGAAGATTTAGCCTCACAAATTAGCTCAATAGAAGCCCATATGTCCATTTTCGAAACCCCTCCCTCAGTGGCGACGCTGATGTGCACTTGTAAAATATGCCTCAGAGATCCTAGTTCCGGACCTTTCGATTTCCAGTTGGATGTGCTTTACAGTTACTCTACGAAGGCATGAGTAAATTAGGGAGAAAACATTACATTCTCTTCCATTTAAAGGACGACTGAGGAGGAGGGGACTTAAATTGTCAAATTCTGGTCGTGACCAATTATCGTCCTCAACCTCTCAGCTTGAACGCCACTATTGTTGTTTTGCTTATTCTCGATAGATCTGACATATGTCAAATCAGCTCCAGAAGGTTGTTGACCGCCAAAAAGTCTATAATAATAGAGGAATCGGATGTTAAGTTCCCCTTAGAAAGTCCGATGCATCTCATAATGTGATCCGGTGAAGCTGGATGGTCACAGCATTTTTTACAAGTGGGGGGTGCATTTTTCTGCCATTATCAAAGGAAAGACATTTAAGGTAGCCACTTGTTATTCTATCCAGAGCAGTCTGGAAGCCACGGTCTCATTTGATTTCCAGCAGAGAGCCAGTGGATGTGGACGCCACTGTAAAAACCATTCTATTCCAGCCAGAGCAGTCTGGGAGCCACGGTCTCATTTGATTTCCAGCAGAGAGCCAGTGGATGCAGACGCCGCTGTAAAAACCCTTAGTAATTTTATTTCGAAGCAGAAGACGTAGAAAATGTGCGATGCCCTCTCTGGGATTCGAACAACGGACCTTTCGATTACTAGTCGGGCATGCTTTCCAGCCTCCCTTTACACTCGAAGGTACAGTGTAAGGAGAGAGAAACACCTTACAATTTGGAAATAGCGATAAAAATTTAAAAAAAATGTTTAAATTACTTTATTAGCATTTTATTAATAAAATGAATTATTACGTTTAGAACTCAAAATTAGTCATACAGTTAATGCTAGTGTATTGAAACGTTAACAAAAGTGAACAATTATTTTTTTGTGAATAAAACTAAAATGACAACAGATAACTTTTTATAAGAAATGGAAAACAAGTTTAAAGTGATAATTTTCTGGCTTAATCATATGGAAAGATTTATTGAATTTAAGTTGGAAACTCGTGATCATTAATAAGATAGCAAACATACTAAAATGTTTATTTAGATTCTTTTATTCATAGTGTAAAATTTATAATTGTGTAAAATTATATATTCTGATATAATAATTGTAATTTAGTTTCCGTCATGAAGACCAAAGATCGCTAATCCTTCGCTAATTCTTTTCTTAATTTCCGAAGAGAATAAAGATGATTTTAGTATTAGTTTGCAATTTAGGCCACTTCATTAAAATCTCAGTGTTTGACATTCTAAAATGAATCGAAAAATAGCTACGAAAAGTGAAAATTCAGAGATATATTTTTTTCTTGCTGAGTAACTGCATAATGCATTTTAATTTTAAAATAAATTCGTCTTCTTGTTTTTTGTAGCAACAGGTATAAGGACATATTATGAAGAACATTATATGTATTTTAGGTTAATGGATTTTAAGATATCAAACAATTCTACTAATGCAAATGTGTAAAAACACATTTATATGCCGGAATAATATACAGTATCAGGTATTTTCTCCCTCCTTTCTGCATGCCTTCGGGGTGTAACGGTAGCATACTTGGCGCGTATTCGAGAGGTTCAGGGTTCGAGTCCCGACGAGAGCACTGCCCATTTTTCACATCTCCTGTGGGGGAAAAAAACCTTATAACTCTACGACAGCTTTCGCTTTAGTAAATTATAACAAAGTACCTATTATGGAAATGAGCCAAACATTTAAAAGTACGGATGCTAATATTCCCTTAGTTTATGATGACTTTAGATTTTGATACTATTACCTTAGTTTATCGCTACTCATTTCTTTATGATATTAGATTATTTCCGAAAGTTAAACAATGATGAAATATATTACTGTCATATATAAATTAGAAAATAATTGTAGGCGTCACATAAACGTATGATATTAATCTAGATCTAAAAAATTTTTCTGTAATGTTTTCCTCCTACAAATTTTCAAGTTACAGCTTACATCAAGCCTTGCACAGAAATTATTCGTTAAGTGATATGATAAAGTAATACGATTTGATTTGAAATCTATAAGCGAAATTACCAAGTTCTAGAAACTTACGAAATCAGAAAAATTTAACTTGTAAATTTAATTCGCCTACCTCATTTTCTGTTTAATACTACAAGTGCAGTTTGAAGCCAGTAAGATATAATTAATTGTCACCAGAAACTATCTTAAATTACATGCAGAATGTTTTGTAATAAATATTCACAACTACTAAAATACTTTTAATACTGAAATCTCGAGAACATATTAATTAATTACCTCTCGAACTATTAAAATTAAGGGATTTTTTTATTGCTCTGAAAATCTGATAAATATAAATCTCTTTGCTTAATGTTTAAAAAGCTGTCTAAATAAAGTTGTTAAAAATGTCGAGTGCTGAGGTCTAGAACAAATACTGTTGTATAGAGGAATTTTTTATAAAATAATTAATAAAAACCATAACCGATTTATGAGAATCATATGTATTTGAGCTGCATAAAAAATAAAAAATAAAATGTTATTTGTATTTTTCAGAAACACTGTATGTATTGTAGTCTGTTCAAAATGTTTTACATTCACAAAAAAAGTTAGTTTTTTACTTTAGAAACAGCAACTTTTCTTACTTTACTGATAAATATTCTTTCACTCACAGAGTAAATTTATTTCAGTCGTTTATGACTTCTTTAAATTTCTTATACTTTTCTTACTTACAAATATTCTATCACTAATACTTATAACCTTAGGAAGAGTAAATTTATTTCAATCGTGTATGACTCCTTTAAATGTCTCTTAAAATTAATGAAGTATAATCTTAATCAATTAAGTATAACTTAGAGCCATCTATGTAATAAACTATACGGTCTTGATTTTGTAACTATTTCATTGTCAATATAATAACTATAATTAAATTAATAAGTGAATTATTTATCTTCTATTTAGAAACATATTACTTTTATCATGTTGATGACCAATGTGAATTCTAAAATCCCGAAGTCATAGCTGATACACAGAAGTCTTAACTTATTTTTATCCATAGATTTGGATTTATCCATAAATTAATTTTTATCCATAGATTTGGATTTATCCATAAATTTATTTTTATCCATAGATAGATAGTCTTAACTTATTCTTATCCATACATTAATGTAAAAAATTAACCAACCTGATTTATGTTGTTATGTTTATTGTTATATTTTTATTTATATGCCTTATTGTGTTTCAATTTAGAAGGCTAGTGGATACCAACAATACCTGGAGAACATTCTCAAGGATAGACAGTACCGGCTATCCCTGCCTCCAAGTGATGTGGAACTTCTAAATGCCCTGAGGAAGCGCCAAATCAGATATCATCCATGTTACTTCAACCCTGTTTCTTGCTTCAGAAGGAAGTGAAACTCACTAGCTGAAGACCTCTGATGGGCATTTCTTGGAAAGCATTCGATGCAGTATGAGAATTCAGAAAACGTTGTGTGTTAGATATTGAATTTTTGTTTTCGCCGTTTTTGTGAATGTAATGGTTTGGTAGGAGTGATGATCGCTTTTTTACAGTAGTTTTCGGGAGTACGTGTATCTTACTATAAATTTCGTAAAATGTGTGATGTTGTTTTATTGGAAATAATAATAATTGCATTTGTAAAACCAGTAGCTCTTTTTATTTATATTTATTCTTCTGGAATGAAAATATGAAGCAAATATTTGTAATACGATTGTTTTTAGATATTGAATAATTGGTAACTGAATAGAAATATTAAAAGCTTTCCAGTCTGTGTATGTTCGAGATTTTATTATAGTTCTGTAATATTTTTAAAGTAGGAAAATATAGGACAATACATATAATTTTTTTAAACACAAATATAAATAAATATAACATACAAAGAAATATAAATCACTGAATTGAATACAAATCACTTATCAAGGTTTTTCAAAATCGCGCTATCAAAACCATCTTAATTTAACTGTTTTGTTAACCGGATTCGTTTACCTCTAAACGGATTTATTACCCTTAAGTAATGTTAAATTAAATCCTTTTTTAAAGTGAATTTCTAATTAACTTGGAAATAAAACTCAAAGTACAGAGATAGTATGTATGAATTCGTTCAGTGTGTTAATCATTAGAATTCTACACAATTATATAGTTTCGGTTAAAATTAGCCGAAGTAAGACACAAAAGAATAGCTAATGCGAAATTCGAAAATAATGTTAAAATATCTCTCAGTTCTTTTCTATTTTTCATACGAAAAGAGTTATCCTTTAAATATCAGTTAAAATGAGCATTCTTCAAATTCCTTTTATCGTCAGCTATTCAAAAGTAGATAAAGGCTTTGTGTGCCTTGAACACACACACACACACACACACACACAAAAAAAAAAAAAAAAAAAAAAAAAAACGAGATCTCAAAAAAGGTCTCAGTTTTTTAGGGATTACAGATATTTAATCTAAAAGGAAGAGAAAAAAATTAACTGCTGTTTATAGCACACTATGCTACTTCAACAGTAGCAGAAATAAAAATCATTCCTTTGTACAACAAAGCAATTCTTTTAACATGGCACTAAGTTATTAGTGCTATGTTAAAAGTGGCATGGCACTTAGTGCCATGTCTTATTTATTTTTAAATAGGAAGAATGCTTGAAGACCGAGGAGGGAAATGTAACGAATGGATGTAGGTAAGGAAACAAAGAATGAGAAAGAAATGATTTCTGATCGCAGATAAGAGCGATCCCCTGCCTATATATTTAAAACCGTAAAGCAGAGTGTTCACTAAGAAGTGCACGAATCTGAGGGGGAAAACTTATGAGCTGAAAACACGCATACGTTTGTACACTCATAATTTACATCCCCCGTACTTGGTTACACCGTACTTGGACGAACATGCAGAGGTTCACGGTTGTGATTATTTGAAGAAGACGAGCGTATTTATTTGACATGGTTGATCTCTTGTGTTTCTATTGTCACTTGATGTTAATCTAATTCTCTTCTTTTTAAAATTTGTTATGTAAACCTCGCGGATACAAGGGACGATTGTACACGCTTTCAGTACTTATTTCAACCCTTTTTAACGATTTTTTGAAGCTTCTATACGTGAGTAATGATTCTAAGCAAAAGTCATTTTTTCTCAAAAAGTTTTAATAGCAGTCATTTGATTTGATCACATCTGTCCGATTTCAGCCAGTAGTAATTCAGCAAAAAGGATGAATAACGTTATTTCAGCCTAAAATCCTTCTAACTATTAAAGAACGGATACAAATAACCGAAGCCCTAGCAGCTTTGTCCAGGACATTGCAGTCTTTAGGTTTTCCACACCCTAACGCTCTTCGAATGCCCGGTTTCTTCCATTTGGTTGCATATTTGAATGAAAAAATAATCATTAAATTTTCATGTTTTTGCACTATTTGTTTTTAGTTTTGCACTATTTCAGGCACGAAATAACTCAACAATGAAGTAGAATTCAAAAGTATATTGTAAGTTAGTGTACATAACATTTTACATATTCTATCATATTACAGTGAAAAATGAGTTGAGATTACTCTGCCAAATTATCTCACATATTATAATTAAGTTTGAGAAACGTTGTTTAAACTTGTTTACAGTGTGTTTTGAAGCTCAAACTATTCATCAATACTACTGCAGTTTCTGTATTTAACGCTGAAGCCTCAGATATGAGATTGAACTAAAAGATCAAAATGTAGCCATTTGCCATATATATGGTTATATTATTTATTGAATTTCATTTTTAAATATTAATTAGAAGTCATAACACATATCGGTGAAATCATTTTTACAATGTCTGTTGCGAATTTTAATTTAAGTAACCCTAAGTTTAAATGAAATTACTCTCCTTCGAAAATAAAATTTGGAAACATTTCCATAATGCTACTTTCCCTTTTAAATACCCCATCGAATACGGAAATGTCAAACTAGACGAATAAACTAACTGCTTTTAATACTTATCTAAGGTAGGTAATTAGTTATAAATATAAGTATTTTAGTTTTTACTAAGATAAATTGTTTAAATTTCTTTTTAAATTAAAATTACAAAGAATTGCAGTTTTAGCCGTTTCTATTCAAGCCTATTTTACTATTTAATTTTTAAACTTAATTAGATCTCCATAAATTATTTTATATGGTCAGGTATGTCATTTAAAATAGGATGAAACTGAGAAAAATAGGCAATTCTCTCCATAGAAGTTAATGCTATTAATTTTTGTGAATATTAAGTTTGACAGATCTATGTACCAAAATTGAAAAATTCGGACCTTAGAAAACGTTACACTATAAATAACCTACGGGCGGTTAATTTGGGAAGTCTTAACAGAGATAGAAACTTAACACTTATTTAGTCTAATTTATTCTGTGGGGGAAAACTTTTATGCTCAAGTAAGACAATTTTTCATTTCGGCTGATCTGCTCTAATCTGAAATGACACAAAACCCGTCTCTCTACAGTAGTCCATCACATTTCAGATGTGCTCAATAGCTAAACGATCCTTTGAAGGACATATTGATTAAAAGTAGATTAACAAACATTAAAGTAGTTTAAAAGTAGATCAACAAACATTTAATGGAAAGGAAATATAAAACTATTAATATCAACTAAAATCATTGTTTCAAATTCAAATCGTTGTTCAAATCAATCGTTGACTTCTACAAATTTAAATCGTTGTTTCAAAGAACTTCCTCAGATCTAAGGAGATTTACTTCCATAAAAGTAGTAACTGGGTCATTTTCAGGCCTTGGAGATCATAAATAAAATTGCCTAACATTGCTTTCAGCTGCATTGATATAAATGTTTTCGAGTGTGGATTAAACTTCTTTTATCGTTGAATACCTGTTATTCGGGAAATTTTCCTTTGAGTAGCATTTTGTTCTCTGTATAAATATAAGTTCTTGACCACTCGTTCATTTCCCTCTGTAAATCTATGTTCTTTTTAATTCCTCTCACAAACGACTCAAAATAGCTCTCTCAGTTACAATAACTTTAGGTGCATATCAGCGTCTTTAACTTTGGAAACCTTAAACGTCCAATAAATTTCTGCTCATAATGCCTTTAAAAAGTATATCTTTTCTCTAGCCAACTATTAATAAGCCAGTAATGTAGAGTTCACTCGACTCACAACTGAAAATATTTAGTTCGATGGTTTACGATTAAATTATAATATGCCCAGAACTTTGCAGAAGAATATTTCCTTAACGTAAGTATATAAATTTCGGTCATGATGTGTGAGTCATATTTTAAAGCTCGGTCTGGCAACTGAATGCAATACAAAAAGGTACCTAGGTATTTCAAAGTTAAATTATGTCTGGGCGTAGATAGTCAGACAAATTATCGTCCCATCTTAGTGATCTGGTGAAAAGTCCAAACACAGAAGAAGGTTTAAAATAAATCACTTTTTTAGAATTTAGCAACTTAACGTGTCTCGTGTAATCAACAGAACAATGTCACCGTATCTTGCGAGATTTAACACAACCTAAACGTTAACGCAAAACTTAATCAAGTAAATTATGCTATTCACGAGACAAATTCCTAGTGTAATATCTGTCTCAGACACTCTTAATTACACGAGCATAATAAGGCTACTAAAGGCTAAAGCTGGGCGAAACTAATTCGGAGGTCAGTGGTCGCCGCTGAAACTCACTCTTAACTTCAAGATATCTGTTCTTACGTACATCAACTAATTTGCATGCTGGTGAAAGTATACCAAAGTAGCAGTGACAGTAAAGATAGAATCGATATAACAGGTTAATAAACTGTAGAGACATTAGGTATTTATTGGAAGCAGGAAAGATGAAAAATTAGCAACCGCCTTTACCGGGAATCGAACCACGAACTTCTGGAATGCGGGCCCAGGGCACAGAACCACTACACCACGAAGTACCGCTAGGAAGGCGGGATAAATACATTATAAAACATAAAAACCTACAGCCGCTTTCACCAAAATTTAAACAATGAGTACAGTTTTCGAATTAAAAGTAGGCTTGTACTTGACACTACACAATTAACATCTCTTTATTTTATAAGATGCTGCATCTCAAGCTCTGTTCCTTCCATACTTTTGAATATAAAAATATTTTGATTTCACAAATAACACTTTTCACAGTATGTACAAAATGACATAGACAGTATGTTAAAAAACCATAGAAAGTATGAACAAAATGACATAAACATTATGTTAAAAAACCATAGACAGTATATACAAAATGGCTTTCATCATTTACTTTAAAAAACTTGCTTTAATGCATGCTTAACCTTTTCGCTCTTCAACAGGCGACGAGTCAACACGCGTGTCTTTATGGTTGTGCATAAATCACTTCTACCTCCTATGTCAAGTCCAATTGATTAGTTTGCTTGACACCGTAGACCTCAGAGACATCCTATTGCAAAATCTAAGCTAAACCATTTTAATTTAGTTTAATATAAAAACATAGAGTTACTGGAGAGCCTACCATTAACTTTCCAATAATTTTTCATTTACAGTACTCTAACTTTCGTTAAAAATACATTTTAGGTAATAATACATTTTCTATATAGCAACACGGAATTCCTAGTATGTTTTACTGGCAGTATTAAACATGCATATATATATATAGAGAGAGAGAGAGAGAGAAATAAATATAATCAAATTAATGAAATGAACATGAATTGAATAACTACTATCAAAGGTGAAAATTTTAGCCAAAAATTAAGAATTTCAATGTGAATTCAACATATACTCCAAATCAACAATGAAGTTTAAGAAGCAATTCCAAAAATGTCAAAATACAATAAATGAATT